GGTGGCAATCAAACCAAGTAACTTTACCACCATGTTCGAGCCAAAATGCTTTGCTCTTCTCCATGCAATGTGGACAAGCTTTCTTACCGGCTGTGGCCCAACCAGACAACATGCCATAAGCCGGGAAGTCACTGATGGTCCATAGGATGGCTGCTAGAAGATTGAAATTCTGTTTCTTCGAAATATCATAAGTTGCCGCACCAACTTCCCACAATAGTTTTAAATCCTCTATCAACGGTTGCATGTAAACATCCAGGTTGCCCTTAGGGTTTTTAGGACCGGGAACGAGTAACGAAAGGAACATGAATTGTCTTTTCATGCACATTGAGGGAGGCAAGTTATAAGGGGTCAAAATGACAGGCCAACAAGAATATTGTCCCCCAAGCTTACCATGAGGAGCAAAACAATCTGTACACAAGCCAAGTCTCACATTACGAGGCTCGGAAGCAAACTCAGGAAACCGACAATCGAGGTGTTTCCAAGCTGCACTGTCACTAGGGTGTGCCATTGTGCCTTGAACTCGAGGATTTTTCGAGTGCCATGTCATTTCCTCCGAAATGTTCTTCGTTGAAAATAGTCTTTGCAACCTGGGTGTGATCAGGAAATAAAAAAGAACATTCAAAGGCACTAGGCTGCCTTTGGAAGTCTGCTTGTATCGGTCATTGCCACACACCCTGCATGCAGACAAATGAGCATCATCCTTCCAAAACAACATACACCCTTTCGGGCATGCATGAATCTTTTGATGGGACAGTTCTAACCCCTTCACAATCTTCTTCACCTCGTAGAAAGTGTCGACCATATGGCTGTTGTTCGGGATCGCCTCACTTAGCAAAGAAGCAAACCCATCGACACATCTGTGAGGCAAATTATACTCACATTTTAGACTAGTGATTCTAGCGACCATCTCTAACACAGACAAAGAACTCCCTTCGTATAATGGCCTTTCAGAAGCCTTCAACAAATCCAGAAAATGCTTAGCAGTTGCATTAGGCTCCTCCTCTAATGAAACACTAGCCTCCTCGGAGTGCCCCTGGTCTTGACTATGACCAAAAGCATCAAAAACCATGTCACGATATTCATTGGACCGCCTTTCGGGAACTCCCGGATACCCTTCCCCGTGACACATCCACTCATAGTAGTTAGGTGTGAAACCCTTGCGATACAGATGAATTTTAACCGTATCCGCATCCCAAAGGCGTTTGTTCTTACATTTAACACATGGACACCTAACTTCATTCGGGCTACTACTCTCGGGATTATCTGCGACGTACTGAATGAATTCATCAACCCCTTTCACGAACTCAGGATTAATACTTTGCCCAACCATCCTTTCATACATCCACCTACGTTCTCTTCGTTTCATGATTACAACTTCTACACAGCTCACGCATATGTACAATCACATTAGTCATAAACCGTATTTCGCAGTCATTATCCACCAAAGCGTTATGGAAATGCAAATGAGTTTTGAAATGCTTCCAAAGGGTCCTTATCACTCCAACCTAACCCATCCTTGTATATTTATTCTCACTAGCGAATGTAACCCAGGTTTTCAATTCTATGGAAAATCCGCCAGCATTTCCCTACAGTTCTCCAAGTACACGATGTAGGCGATTAAACACACCTACATATGTACCCAGAGAACACGGTAGAGAAATGCATGAAAAGACAGGATTTTCCCTAGAATCAAAAACAAGGCTTACATTCACCACCTAAGTGAGAATAAGCGTACAAGGACAGTCCCAACCGGGGACTATTCAAGACATACTCCTAATGTGTATGCCTTGAACGGGTATCTAGGCATATGGTTATGCAAATGATTTATTTATTATATATATATATATATATATAAAGTGAAGGAAACATGCATTTTACTAAACAGAGATATATCATAATTAAACTAACCTAAGCAAATAAATAAGAAGGCTTATTAAATATTATATTAAACATTATATCAAACAAAAATATTAAACTAAATACACTAGCATACACTTTATTAAACAAAACTAAACCAAGTTTAACTAAACTAAACTAAACTAAACTAAACTAAACTAAAGTAGACTAAACTAACATATTAAATTACCCTAAACTAAACCAAACTAAACTAACATGTTATAATACAATAATTAAAAACTAAACTTAAATAAACTAAACTAATATAACATATCATAACATTAACACATTCAATTCAAATATTTCAACAAATTAAAATATAAATACAACAAATTATATATACAAAAACTAAAAACAATAATAAACTAACATATATCTACACACCATTAGGATCTAACATGTCAAGTATAAACTAAATTCATACATTTAGCTTTAAAATACTCTCTAACCTGTAGATCTGAAGATGTTATTGCCAAAGAACCAATTCAATCTACAAATCCTACAAATATTCAAATTACAAACAAAAAATAAACAAAAAAATGAAAGTATAAACTATATTTATAATTTTAGCTTTTAAATTTATGCTTGCATTTTGTATAAAAAAAATGAATATTGATAGATGTAAACTTTTATTAAAAAATAAACCAAAAAAAAAAAATTGGAAAACCGACACTACCTGCTGGCGGCGGCGGCTAGTGGCCGTTGTGGTTGCAGACCGGCCGGCGAGTGAGGCTTTGGGGTTGGTGGTTGTTAGTAACAACTCCGGTAAGCCCTAGGACATGGTGGTGGTTAGGGTTTTTCGGAAAAAAAGAAAAAATTAAAAATTAAAAAAAATTAAACCACTTACCGGCGGCGGTGCAGCAGCGGAGGGGCGGTAGACGGCGGTGTGCGTGGCCCTCTCTCTCTTCCTCTTTCTCCTTCTCCCTTTCTGTCTCGCTCTCCCTTTCTGTGTCTGTGTTTTTTTTTGTCGTTGTTGTTCTGTAAAAATCGGGTTTTTTTGAATTGTTCTAAGCTTCCGACGGAAATTTTTCCCTCAGAAAATTCAGGTTCTGACGAAATTTTCCGTCGGAACCTGAATTTTCCGAGGGAAAAATTTCCGTCGGAAGTGTTTCCGAGGGAATATTCCATCGGAACCAGGATATTCCGAGCGAAATACAATCCGTCGGAAAGTTTCTGAGGGAATATTCTGTCGGTACGGAACATTTCCGACGGATTTTTCCTACAGAAGCAATTTCCGCCGGATTTTTTGAATTTTCCGAGGGAATTAAATTCCCTCGGAAATAAGCCTATTTTTAGTAGTGAGAGACAGATGGCCAAATGGTATTTGAGAATCCTGCTAATGATATAATCGCGCAAGCAATTGTTAGAATTAACTCTAATTTCAAGTCATTAAAATTGTTAGTTGCAAGTTTCTTGTTTAAAGTTCAAATTATGGGTCATGTTCTGCATACAGGTCATAACAAATTATGGGTCATGTTCTGCGTACAGGTCATATCAGTTCATGAAATATGCTAGATTTAATTTATTCCACCAGTTCTTGTCATTATTGTTTATTTTATTTAATCTTATTTATTTACTTCTTTAAAAAAAAATTAATCAGAGTATGTTGGATGCCTAAGATCAAAGAGGAGAAATAACCGCCAAGGGTTGGGTTGACGTATTAGCTAAAGCAATAAATAAGCCTGAGCATGGTGGTCGTGTAAGGGCTGTTGGATCGGGTGTTTCAAATAAGGCATATTTTGGGTACAACCAACCAACACCTCCAAATCGTATGCAGAAACAATTCAATTATCTGATGAAAGAGATGGGTACTATGAGAAATGATCAAAACTTTTTGATGTCTTACATTATATCAAGCCCTAATTTCAACCCAAATCAATTTAGACAATTCATGACAAGTGGTGGTGCTTTAGGTGGCCAAGGGTCAGTGAGTACCCCATTTGGGAGTTATGTTGCCCTACTTGGTGGCCAAGGGTTGGGTGCTTCCCAATTTGGTTTCCCTATCCAAGGGTTTGGTGGTCCTCAATTTAGGGCTCTTAATGGACAACTTAGTGGCTCAAGGGTCCAAGTAGGTGGATTTGATGTCAATAATGTTGGTTTTAACGAACTTGGTGCTCATTTAAGTAAACATGTTGACAGAGACAATGTAGATCTTGAAATAAATGGTACTTCAGAACCTAACCAGGAGGAGATTTTTCCCTACCATGTTCCTTTGTCCGAGCAACACTTAATGCGAAGTGATCAACAAATAGAGCAAAATTGTGCTTCTTCTCCTCAAATAAGTCATGAGCTAATTGATGATGATCCGATTAGTCATAATCAATTTAGAAGTGGTCTGACAAGGTATGATCCAGTGAGTGTTATTGAACATACTCTTCCTGAGGTACATTATTCTTTTTCCAAGTATTTAATACTTAATGGCATTCTTAGCCTTATTATAAGTATTTCTCATGGTATATTAATTCAAATTGTACATGATAAGGGTTGGAGTGATTGTTCTTTGGAAATTCAAAGTGAAAAGGAGCTACATATTGTTGCCAAAGGAAAGGTGGAAAAAAGAAAATCAGAACAAGTAATTACTGTTCATAATGTTAAGATTGTGATTGTTCTTCTACGAGTCTCGGTTGATCAAGTGGTGATTCCAACAGCTCTTATGCCATGTCCAACCTCAGAGTTCACGTACGTGTCTCAAGCTAAGGGTAATTTTTGCTCCCTGGCCAAGTCACTTGATTTATCCAATGATGAAGGTAAAATTTTATTCTTATAATATTACAAAATTATGTCCCAAAGTGGTTATTGAAGTCTTAGGTTTGTATGTTAGTTTAATCATTTTTCTTTTTGATTTGTGCTTTTACTTTAAAGGATGATGAACAAAAGCAAAACCCCTGACTACTCCATCCCCAGAAACACCATCATCACAAGCATCCACTACTCATAAGTATGTCATTAGAGATTATGCTAAGTTAACTACTAGTTTGTTGCGAAAATTCAAAATTGAAGCTTGGAGAATGAAAGAAAATGATGATTGCATATCAATAACAATCCCAACAAGTGTGTATGGACATGATCAAAAACTTAAAATTGATTATGCAGACATTTTTGACTGGTGCTTTCAAAGAGAGATTAGAGCTTCACATTTGTCTATCTTTATGAAGTAAATGCCTAATGACTTACCTCTTTTTCTATTGCTTTCTAACTATCATTTTTATATAATTTTGTAATATATATGTTAATTGATGTGGAAGGTACTTGAGCGAAATGTGTAAACAAGATAGTGTTGCTGGAATGTATGGATTTTGCAATATTGGTTGTTTATCTCCGCTGACACCAATGACTAAAGAAGGACGATCAGACTATTTAACAATTGTGTTTGGTCAAAATGAAGGGAAGAATCTTAATCAACTTTTCTTTGCTCCGTATAAAGAAAAGTAAGTGTGAATCATATATAAAACTATTTTTTGGGATATTCAATGATAATAATGTCAATGTTACTTCTTTTACTAATGTTACATATAGTCGGCATTGGATGGTTGCGATCATTAGTCCTTGGAATGCAGTGGTGTTTTGGCTGGATCTAGATGGAGCAGAAAATGAAATTAGTAATTTGCTCAAAAGACCATCAATGAGTATGTAGTACATCACATATTCATTGTATCTACATATACTGTGCTTAAAATCAGTTTGCTTTTTTTTTGTGTTGTTCTTAATAATTATAAAAAAGAATTATCATGTGACATAACTAATTGTTTATTTTTGCAAGTGTCCTCGTCAATCACTAAATTCCTATGATAGTGGATACTATGTGTGCCGCTATATGCTTGAGACTATAGATAAAAGACGACAAGTGATTCTTGATCAGGTATTATTCATGCATGCATATATAATGTATATTTATCATTAATTTTGTGTTGGATTATGCTATGTAGTGGATTAGATAGTGTAATTGCCTAATGACTTACTTCGTCTACTTGGTTTGATTGATTTTTGCTCTCATTGAGTGTATGTTGTGTTAAAACTAGTCAGTAAGGCTGAGAGTATCATGTTATGTATGTGTGCAGTAGGTTAGACAATGTATTTTACTTATAGTGTGTTTTCTTTGTGGTGGGCTTCAATGCTTTTTTACACTATAGAAATTTTTCCATACAGATGAAATAATGCATGCTTGATTTTAAACAGAAATAAGGCATGTAAAATTAGTTCACATTGTCTTTTTCATGTTTTTTCATAGTGTACTTTAACTTAATGTATTTGTAGTTATTAACGCATGTTGTTAATGCTTTATATGTAGTACTTTACTGGAGTATCTACTTCTTATTCTCAAGCAAAGATTGACGAGCTAAAAGACTTATGGGTTAATTATGTGTACGAGCATAAGAAAGTCGGTGAGGAATATGACGATGGCGTGGATTATGATGAGTAAATTTATATGCATCGCTACCATTACAATTTTAGTATTTTATATTGTCTTTTTTCCTTTGGTACTACGTACAACATAAACACTCTAAATTTGTACTCGTAGTAAAATATTTATTTTCAATGAAAGTATGCAACATTTTATCTTGTACAGTAGCTTTTTTCCATATTTTTGTTTATAATTATATATATACAAGTCTGTCACCTGCTAGGTACTCGTTACATTATGTTGCTTTACAAAAAAATTAACAAAAAATAAAAAAAATAAATAAGAAACCGGTTGTCTAACAAATCTCGTCGGCGATTTCATTCATATTATTATTATTATTATTATTTAAAATTTTGAGCCTAGATAAGAGACCCCTTTTCTAGTTAGGGGGTTTTTAAAATGTGGTTTAAGAGACCCCTTCTCGCTCTTATGTGGTTCCATATATAGCTTTCATGTATAATTTAAAGGGTTAGATAAATAACCACCTAAGAAAGAGAAGCGGTTTCTTATTGTCTTTAAGAAACCACTTCCAAAAAGGGTTTCTTTGGCTAAGAGGTCGTTGACCTTAAGACTCCCTCTCATGTGGTCTCAAAGGGAGGTTTTAGGGGGTTTCTTATGGGTTTATAACCAGTTTGGCTAATAGGTTCGAGAGTTACTTCTTTTTGCTTATTCGGTATTTGAGTTGGCATAACCTTGACACTAAACCGGGTAGTCTTCCTTGGTATGTATCTTGGTCGTGTACAACTTCCTTCTCCTTGATATCTAGGTCTTTGGATAACATTGTTTACGTTATTTATAATTTCTTCTCCAACGCCATTATAATCCATTATCCTTTTACCTGATTTGTTATCAATCTTCTATTAAACAACTTCAATAGGTAAAAAGTCTAAATCTTCTAGCTTCAATAATCCTATTTGTTGATATAAATATTCTTTTAAATTAACATAATTATTTTTTTCTAATTCATTATCAGAAACAATCCCGTTTTCAAAAAATTATATTCATGATCTCATTTTGTTTATCAAGGTCTTTTTCTTTATCAAATAAGGTTTGTAATTCTTCAATTGTTTTCCCTCGAAGATGATGGCTCATCTTTAGTTTCTTTAATTTGTTCTTTTCCTTTTCACTAATGATTTTTTTAGGGAGTGATACCAAAAACTTCTTATTTTTATCTTAGTTCTGAAAAGGATATTTATATCAATAAGGAACAATCTTTTCCTTATTAGGTGATATTTCTTTGTTAAACTGATGTCTAACTTCGTTTGTTAAAGCAAGTTGTACTTGTTTAACTTGTTCTTTTAGCTCACTTAAATTTTTATAAACATTAGATGTTGTCGTTATTAATTTGTTTTCAAGATTCATACAACGATAATGTATGCTATCAACTTCTACTTTTAATTAGTTTTCCAATTTGATTTACTATATAATTAAGGATTGGACCAAAATTACTACAAATAGTATTTGCAGGAATGTGATAGTAATGCTTGAACTTTAGCTTCTTACAATCAATGGATGGCCTAGAATTCTCCATTTTTACTTAATTTCTAATTTTATTAGCAACTAACCTTATGGCTCTATACCAAACCAACGATCCCAAACAATATTAAATAATACTAGGCAATATTAAAAGACTTAATGACAATGTAAAAAGTTCTTTGCTTATCATATCATATCACTAATAAATAAAGCCAGTCTCGCAGCCAGGTCACGAGACATCGATACTTAGCATTCTAGTTTTTCGCTAAGTGTCGTGCCACATAAGCGACAAACAAGTATTATTGTGACACATATGAAGCTAAATAATCGAATTTTGGATAAATTTTTGAAGATTAAATGTTGTATAGAGTTTTATTATCGATACACTACTAATACTTCCATACATAGAAAATTAATCATAACTTTTAATAAAAGTCTAATAACCCGATTCTATTTCCATCATAAAATTCATTTTAAAAAGTTCTTTAAATAAAAACCATTTATAATATATTTAAAATAATAGAGAACTAATAAAAATAAGTTTTAATCTGTAAAAAATACTTTGAATTTAGTAAAAATAATATAAGTATGATATCGCATGTCTAAATATATATCCTGCATTATATGACCGTATTTAACATTCAAGCCAAAAGATTTATCCTAAAATTTAATAAACAACCTAGGCATCGCCCGGGGCACAAAACTAGTAACTAATATATAAAGCTAAACTTTTAGCCAGGTAACGAGACAACAATACTTAGTGTTTTAACTTTTCGCCAAGTGTCGCGCCAAGTAGGCAACAAATTTAATATTAATATGACACGTAAGATTATTTGGATATATTTTATTAGGATAAAAACTAGGATAGATTTTGTAGGATAAAAAAGTTAGTTTAGAATTTTATTTTCAATAAAATTTGGATAGATTTATAGGATTAAATTGTTGGTTTAGAGTTTTATTTCCGATAAAATACCAATATTTCATAGGTACAAAATAAATTATAAGTTTAGTTAGACCACGCGACAGCGACAATTGACGTTTCAACTTTCACTCAATGTTGCGCCACATAGACAACAATTAAATAATTTATCATATAAATTTATTTTTATATCATAATTTTTTTGGAGCAAAGGAAATAGTTCAAAATGTACAACATTCATTTATAATACTACCTCCGTTCCTAAAAGTTCGACTCACTTACTATTCATGTGGTCAAAATAAAATAATTTTGACCACATTTGATGATTTATACAATCAAAATAAATGAAGAAATTTGATCTTATTAGATTCCCCATATGATAAAATTTTCAAATATCAACTTGTTAAAATTTTTACTTATACATAGCCGAAGTTATCAATGGTCAAAGATGTTCATTGGAGACCGTGCAAATGTAAAGTGAGTCGAACTTTCAGGAACGGAGGGAGTACATTCTAATTGATTGAAATTAAATACTTCACAATCGGGTCGGGTCATGGGTCCTTTCGCGTCAAGTCACTCTAGGTCACGGGTCAAGAAATGTTCAATGCTAGCCCAAAGTTTCGGGTTCGGGTCAACCCAACGGGATTAAAACAATTTTTTTTTTACTTTATTTTTAGCTAATTTTTAAAAAACTCTAATATTTCACGCTTACTTTGTTATATTTTTTTTTTATAATTTTTTAAATCAAACATTTTCACCAATATTATTATTAGTCATTACATGCCTACTACATAATTTAAATCGTCAAAAAATCACATCAATTCCTAACTAATTTTTTAACAATGATACATTTTAAAACTTATGTATAAATAAAAAGTTTATCTTAAAATTCAATAAACAACCTGGGCAACGTACAAAGCACCAAATTAGTTTATTTGATAAATCTCAAATCTTTTATTCTGACGATAACTTGGTGCGGTATGACAGTTTAACTTTCAGAATGACAATAATTTTCAGTTTATAAACTTATTCTACTAATAAGAATTCTGGTAATTTACTTTTCTTTTTAATTGCGGCTTGTGCTGGACCTAGGGAAGGAACATTGAGTGACCACGAACGAGAGGAGGGTTGAGGCCCTAGTGGTGGGAAGCTAGGAGAGAGAAAGCGGTGCTCAACCCTCGCTCATTCCGGCTAGAGCTGGGCATGGGCCGGGCTGGCACGCAGGCTGCCCGGCACGACACGCCAGATGGCCCGGCCGGCACGAGCACGGCAGCGGCACGATACGGCATGTGGAACAGCCGGTGGGCCGTGCCGTGAACAAGGAAATTGAAATTTGGCACGAGCACGGCGGGCGGCACGAACACCGGCCCGTCGGTACGGCCCGCCAGGCACGATACTTTTATTAGTAAAATTAATATTTTTTTAACAAAATAATAAAACAAATATTAAAAATAAATAAATAAATGGACGGCACGGGGCTGGCACACGTGCCGTGTCGTGCCGTGGGCCGACTTGTGGAAATGGCCGGCACGGCACGGCACGACCGTGCCAGCATGACGGCACGGCACGACCGTGCATCGTGTGGCTAGGCACGGCCGGCACGGCCCTCGGCGGCACAGCACGCCACGGTGCCCAGCTTTAATTCCAGCATTATCTTCCTCACACCACCACCACCACCTCTTCTTCTCTCTCTTCCCGCTACTCCGCCCAACCACCACCGCCGTCCTCACGCTTTCCCAGCCACCACAACAAACACTCTGCTACTTCGTAGCAATTGATAACAAAAGCTTGTAAACTTTCTCTCCTCCATTGAAGCGCCTTCTCAGGTAAGGCATGTTTTTCAATCATCTAATTTCAATTATTCTTGCTGGATTGATTACAGAACTATTATTGCTTATTGCTAAGAATTCTAATTTTATAATTGAATTAAAATTTGGTTGCTAATGTGTTGCAGAACCCTAATTAATTAATTAAAGGA